GGCTAGTGTTTGGTCAGAAGAGCAGTGTGCCGGCTAGTGTTTGGTCAACTTGAAAGAAGGCAGAGTCATCAGAGAGGAGGGAACCTCAACTGAGAAAATGACCAGCTCCATAGGCAAGCCTGAGGGACATTTCCTTGATTAATGATTGCTGTGGTAAGGATGGTGCTATCCTTGGACAGGTGGTCTTGGGGTACAGAAGAAAGCGGACTAAACAAGCCATGGAAAGCAAGTGTTCCTCCACGGCCTCTGCTTTAGTTTCTGCCTTGAGTTGTAAGAGAAAATAGACTATTTTCTCCCCAAGTTGCTTTAGCCATGGTGTTTTGACACAGAGCCATGAATGTGTGTGTGCATGCCAGTACTCAGATCAGTTCATGATCTGCCTGGGAACCAACAGTTCCACCTACAATTAAGAGGGTCTTCCCATATGAGTTAACATTATCAGAACAATCATTGGTCTGTCCAGAGGCCTTCCGTCCAGGTGATTCTAAATATTGTCAAGGTAACAATTAACATTAACCATCATCGATGCACACCCTGATCGCAGATAACCAAAACTGTGAGAAAGAAATGTGGAGTGTTTATAAGCCTTAGTCTGTGAAAATTCATAGCAGTGGCTGAAGAAACCGAGACTGAAAATACTTTACGCATAACGGGTCCTCAGTGTTAGTTGCCTTTCTTCCTCTGGGGTCATACAGTGACGAACTGGATTGCCAGCAGATCACAGATTCCCTAGCTGTTGCTGCTGCTTCCCCTCCAGACAGTCTTTGGCTGCTTGGGATGCTGTGTAGATGAGGCTGGTCTTGAACTCACATAGCTCCACCTGCCTCTGCTTTCCAGATCTGGCTGTTCATTTTTATGTGCCCTTTTATCTTAAAAGATAATATAACACATAGACAAGCTTAAGTATTAATTTCTATCACTATAATTTTAATTTTTGTACATCTCATATCGTATAGTAAAAACCAAGGAACTATATTTTTATATATAAAATGGCATTCCACCAATTTCAACAGGGTTAGAATTTGCTTTAGTCAATAGTGTACTTTGTTACTTAATCTAATCACTCAGTCTTCTAAGTTGGTAACATTTATTGCTGTATATAGTGCCTCAGTCAAAACTCTGTGATATTTTGTTTTATCTAAAATTATTTCATAGAATAAAGTGCTTTGAACTAGTGGCACAAAGAATAACGCAAGAATATAAGCAAGAGACTTTAAGTCATGACTTCATCTTTGGGCATGTAGTTGATGGGGTAAAAAGAAGTGGCCCTGGCTTTTGTCCTACCTGATCTTGAATGGGTCACTTCTTTTTGAACTTCAGTTTCTCATGTATTAAATTAATGTGTTGGGGGCTGGAGATGGCTCAGTTGTTATAAGAGAACTTGCTGTTCTTCCAGAGGACCCAAGTTTAGTTAAAGTACCCAAATCAGGTGGCTCACAACAGCCCCAGGGGACTTGACACCTCTTCTAGCCTCTGCAGGATCCTGTGCACACATGGCTTACAAACATACAAGCACACACATAAAGTTAAATTTTTTTTAGTTTATTATTATTATTATTAAAAATTTTCACCTCCTCCCATTTCTCTCTCCCCTCCCCCCATACCCCCTTCCCCTCTCTCTCCAGTCCAAAGAGTTAAATCTTTAAATTAATGCCTGGTTTCAGGTGATTCCTCATGTTCTTTGACTCTGACACCCCACAGTCAGGCACTGAAGCAGCAAAGGCTGATCCGTATGCCTAGGATATAGACTGCATTCTCTGGCTCTTTTCTCTAGAAGGCCTGAGGAAGACTTCCTACCTCTTCCTCAGCCTCGCTGAGGAGTTCCAGTGTCAGTGGGATCACCGTTTTCTCGCTCATCTTAGGGAAGAGAATCTTTTACAACCCAAACATGAGACAGAGGGATTTCTGTGATATCTATCTGTTGCAGACAAAGACCTTGTTGAAGATCTTGCTTAGGTGGGAAGACATATGGGAGCCACATGCCGAGCTCCTGGGCTTTTTCTGCCCCTGGGTGCTCTCCCGTAGAGACAAAACTGTAAATACAGCAGAGAAGGCTGTATCTTGTCTTCCTCAGGTTTTACAGTTCCCCCTCTGGTTCCAGTGGTGAATTCAGCCTTCTATTTCTCATGAATTTCAGGTAGCTGACACACAGGAATTTGGGGCCAAACTACACAGATTATTTTATGACGCCACCCAGCACCGACTTCTGCAGCACTGCTCATGCGACACAGAACAGGTAAGTGTGACGATAATAGTATTTTAGTAGGAATCTCCCATTCTGATGTGGGAGCCCTTAATTCAGGGTGGGTAAGTACAAATGCTTCAGGTCGTACGGCTGGCCTTTCAGCAAAGATGCCTTGGCCCAAGAAACATCACAGAACCAAGTGCTTTGTAGAAGCCAAGAGCATGGCCGGACACTGAGTTCCATTTCTACCACTGGGTGATTGTTGGCATCGTTAGAGATACGATTTAACCTTGCCGAGCTTTGGTTTCTATGCCAGTAAAATAATAATATGCCAAATCTTCCGTTAGCAGTTCACCCTTCTGGCTGCTGAAGGCCCGGAGCTCTCAGTGGAGGTCTCTACTGCAGCACACCTGGTGGCCGTGTCCTCCCACAAGGGGAGAGCTTGCCTAGAACATTCTGTATGCCTTCAGATTCCAGTCGTAGCTGGTAGCAAACTGTTCAACTAAAGCCCACCTTTCTGGTTCTCCTGTCCTCCCTCCCTCCCTCCCCCCACCTTTTAGTTTTTCAGAACAGGTTTCTCTGTATAGCCCTGGCTGTCCTGGAACTCCCTTTGTAGGATCAAACTAGACTTGAACTCAGAGATCCACCTGCCTCTGCCTCCTGGGATTAAAGTTGTGCACCATCACACCAGTCTCTGGTTCTCTTGACATAAAAAAAAACAACTAAAGTATAAATTAAATAAGCAAGAGACTAAAGATTAAATCATTACACTATGGCTTCTGAGAGAGAGGGAGGAAAGGAGGGACTGGTGTCAAGATGGCTACTTAATGTCAGGCAATAAATAGAATGGTCATTCCTGAGAAGTGGAAAGCAAAAAAAAAAAAGTTTTTGAGAACAGGGTCTTAATATATAGCCTTGGCTGGCCTTGAACTCTATGTAGATCAGGCTGATGTTAAATTCATAGAGACCCGTCTGAGTGCTGAGATTAAAGTTGTGTACCACCATACCCTCTTGGGGAAACCTTTTTTTTCTTTTTCTTTTTTTTTTTTTGAGACAGGGTTCCTTTATGTAGCCCTGAAACTCCCTCTGCAGACCAAGCTGGCCTCAAACTCAGAGATCCACCTGCTCTGCCTCTGGAGTGTTGGGTTTAAAGGCAAGCACCACCATCACCCAGCTGGAAAAAAAACTTTAAAAAAAAAATTCAAACAAAACAATGATTCCCCCAATACAACATACTGTCTAGAAAAGTATGGAGGCCATCAAAGAGAGGGGGCCCAGGTCTACCCGAGGTAAACAATGGGGCTGGAGACCTACGGTGCTGCTGTAGTCCATTTGACATTGGGGTGACAGAATATTTAAAAATAGGAACTCTGGTGACCTAGACATACATATACACACGTAAGGACATGTGCACACCCATACATATATATACATAATATACACCATATTAACACAAAATAGAGCTAGAGAAGATATCGGCATCAGACAAAGTAAATGTGAGAGTGGAAAATATTATGTGAGATAAACAGGGCCCTTCAGAGTTTGCAAGACAGCTCGGAGGTGAGCGTTCTTGCTGAGAAAGTCTGGAGTCTGAGTCCCAGAGCCCATGCAAAAAGCCATATGTGGTAATGTGTATCTGTAATCTCGGCACTCCTGTGGCAAGATGGAGGGTAAAGGAGGAAGAATCGGCTGGAAGCTTATGGTTCAGCTAGCCTGGAGTAGTACACAACACAGCAGAAACAGCAAGAGAGAGAACCTGCCTCAAAAACAAAGTGGAAGGAGAGAACTGACCCCACATTCATGGGCCGCCACATTCATGTTGTAGCATGCACACACACACATTAGTTAATAGTACATAATAAAGAACGTCATTTTAAATTGATTTTTATTGAGCTCTACAGTTTTCTCTGCTCCCCTCACTTCCTCTCCCCTCCCCCCTTCAACCCTTTCCCATGGTCCCCATGCTCCCAATTTACTCAGGACATCTTGTCTTTTTATACTTCACATGTAGATTAGATCTATGTAAGTCTCTTTTAGGGTCCTCATTGTTGTCTAGGTTCTCTGGGATTGTGATTTGTAGGATGGTTTTCTTTGCTTTATGTTTAAAAACCACCTATGAGTGAGTACATGTAATAATTGTCTTTCTGTGTCTGAGTTACCTCACTCAAAATAATGTTTTCTAGCTCCATCCATTTGCCTGCAAATTTCAAGATGTCATTTTTTTCTGCTGTATAGTACTCCATTGTGTAAATGTACCACAGTTTCCTTATCTATTCTCCAGTCAAGGGGCATTTAGGTTGATTCTAGGTTTTGGCTATGACAAACGATGCTACTATGAACATAGCTGAGCACATGTCCTTGTGGCACAATTGAGCATCCTTTGGATATATATCCAAAAGTGCTATTGCTCGGTCTTGAGGAAGGCTGTTTCCTAATTTTCTGAGAAATTGCCACACTGACATCCAAAGGGGTTGTACCAACTTGCATTCCCACCAGCAATGCAGGACTGTTTCCTTTACCCCACATCCTCTCCAGCATAAGGTGTCATCAGTGTTTTTGATCTTGACCATTCTTCCAGGTGTAAGATGAAATCTCAGAGTTGTTTTGATTTGCATTTCTCTGATGACTAAGGATGTTGAACATTTCCTTAAGTGTCTTTCAGTCATTTTAGATTCCTCTGTTGAGAGTTCTCTATTTAGGTCTGTACTCCATTTTTTAAATTGGATTATGTGATCTTTTGGTGTCCAATTTCTTGAGTTCTTTGTATATTTTGGAGATCAGACCTCTGTCTGATATGGGGTTAGTGAAGATCTTTCCCCATTCTGTAAGCCGGCTGTCATTTTGTCTTGTTGACTGTGTCCTTTGCTTTACAGAAGCTTTTCAGTTTCATGAGGTCCCATTTATTAATTGTTTCTCTCAGTGTCTGTGCTGCTGGGGTTATATTTAAGAAGTGGTCTCCTGTGCCAATGTGTTCAAGTGTACTTCCTACTTTCTCTTCTATGAGATTCAGTGTGGCTGGCTTTATGTTGAGGTCTTTGATTCATTTGGACTTGAGTTTTGTGCATGGTGATAGATATGGATCTATTTTCATTCTTCTACATATTGATATCCAGTTATGCCAGTACCATTTGTTAAATATGCTTTCTTTTTTCCATTTGATATTTTTTGCTTCTTTGTCAAAAATCAGGTGTTCAAAAGTGGTGGATTAATATTCGATTTGGTTCCATTGGTCCTCCTGTCTGTTCTTATGCCAATACCAGGCTGTTTTCAGTACTATAGCTCTGTAGTAGAGCTTGAAGCCAGGGACTGTGATGCCTCCAGACATTCTTTTATTATACAGGATTGTTTTAGCTATCCTGGGTTTTTTGCTTTTCCATATGAAGTTGAGTACCGAGAAACATCATTTCATACTGGTGAAATATTTGTCCTGAAGACACTGCAGATGCTACTCAACTTACAGCAGCTGTATTACATTACAATGATCCATCATATATATATATTCGAGACAGGGTTTCTCTGTGGCTTTGGCACCTGTCCTGGAACTAGTTCTTGTAGACCAGGCTGGTCTCGAACTCACAGAGATCCCCCTGCCTCTGCCTCCCAAGTGCTAGGATTAAAGGCGTGCACCACCATCACCCGGCTTGAACCATCATATTGTGTGATGTTTTATTCTTTTGACTTTTTGGGGTGTCCTACCACCCACCTCCCAAATAAACCACACACAGAGGCTTATTCTTAGTTATGAATGCCCGGGCTTAGCTTGGCTTGTTTCTAGCCAGCTTTTCTTATCTTAAATTATCCTGACTACCTTTTGTCTCTGGGCTTTTTCCTTTTCTTACTTCTGTATATCTTCCTTTCACTCTTACCCCGTGGCTGGCTGGGTGGCTGGGTGGCTGCCCCTGACCTCCTTCTCCCCTTGTTCTCTCATTGCTCCTCCTTGTCCTCGTTTCTCCTATTTATCCTCTCTGTCTGCCAGCCCCGCCTATCCTTGCTCCTGCCTCGCTATTGGCCATTCAGCTCTTATTGGACTATCAGGTGTTTTAGACAGGCACAGTACCACAGCTTCACAGAGCTAAACAAATGCAGTGTAAACAAAAGTCACACACCTGAAAATAATATTCTGCAGTACCATCGTAAGTTAAATCTTCATAAGTAAAATTTCATTTAATACAGCTAACTAACTGAATACCACAGCCCAGCCTAACTTAAGTGTGTTCAGACACAACAGCTTTCATCTGGGAGAAGCCACCCAAACACAAATCCAATTTTACACAACAGTTCATGGGATATATTAACTGCTATACTGAAATGGGGTGCAGGCAGTGGTGGTGCACACCTTTTAAAAACAAACAAGAAACCCTAAAAACAAACCAAGAAAAACAAAAAGAAAAGAAAATTAAAAGGAAGTGATGGGAGAAGCCTAGAAAGACGATTTGAATGTGAAATCATTGTGAAGCCAAAAATCCATGCCAAACCATCATAACCCAGGGGCCGTCTATAGTCCTAAACACGCACAGACCTTTCAGGAAGGCTCTAAAATACAGGAAACAAAATGAAGAAACTCTTAAATACAAAGAGCTAAATCCAAGCTATGTTTGAAGACTTTAACATACTTCTCACAATAATTAACAGGACAGGCAGACAGGAAATCAGTTAAGTCTGTATAAGACTTTAATAGTCCTATCAGTGTGACCTAACTAATGTTCATGAAAACACTTTACCCAACCATGGACAAATACAGTTCTTCCATGTACATAGGACACATCCAGCAGGACAGAGCATATTCTAGCCATTGGATACTTCTGTATTAGAAAAGATCATATGTCCAGTTATTAGATATCAAAATCAGACCACATTCCCAGCTATTAGATAGCTCTTGATATATTTAAACTTATTTAAAATAATACAAACATATGTTTTAAATTTTTATTATATCTATTTGTTGATTTGTGTGTCTATGTGCGTGCTGTGGTGCCTATGTAGAGGTCAAAGGACAACTTGTAGAAGTTTTTCCTCCTTCCACCACGTGTTCAGGGCTGAACTCAGGTAGT